TGTTCGTGATTCAAGACAAAAGGCGATACCAACAACGATCAGCTTGCTAAAGTTGAGCTGCAATGCAGGTATAACTCTGCCAGCTAGCGATTGCAGGTGTGTTATGTATGGCAGGGCGCTACCATGTCCAGTGAGACAGTGTTGGACTCTCATGAAGAGCTAACTTGGTGTATATCTCCACGGCTACTATAAGGGTGTGGTGTTGTTCATCAGTCGAAAAAGTAGCTTGTTGATAGTCGTTCGAAGGGTTTATTCATCAAGGTTCTTATTACCAGCTGGGAAATGATACTGATCACATTAACTGAGTGAATCAAAATCCGTTCCTTGAATGGGGTTAAGTTGCGAAAAATTCAATATCGATTGCATAAATCATCTGGAAAGACCCGCAACCGGAGACATACATATATGCATACCACCAGGCATGCATGCCCGGTCGTAAAATGTTCCCCCCTTCCGTTTCTCACGATTTCGGGCCTTTTCCCTCAAAAGCGGCCTTCCTGGTTTCTGGCCTAATCTTCTCATTGTCCTGGTCCGCCAGCGATGGTACCAGTCGACTGTTATTGCTGACCATCTGCCGACGGTGAGCCTAGAAGATTTCCCTTTCTGTTGTCGACGATGCAATCCCTCACTACTGTCTTCTGTCCGATCACCCCATTTGGACATGTGGTCGCGCCGTGAAATTCTCTACATCTTTTTTTGTCGGTTTATGATTTTGATCATTTTTGTTTTCACTTCCGGTAGTTCATCACTGAATGAATCCGATGATATTTGCTGTGATGAATCCCACTTCTGTTGATTTGTACCAAGACCGTTGTTTTAGCGAAAAAGATGTGTAGAGTACAGTTTGATGACGTCATTCAAGTCTCTTCCACTCGTCGCAAGCATCAGCGTTCGGCCCCCATGCGACACACGGTGGGGGTTGACAGGTTCGAGTTTCTTCGCAGTAAATCTCAGCACGAACGATTCTTTTCGAACAAAGCCGAAATCCCTGATTTCTCGAAGACCACCACCGCCAAACGATTTGTGTTCCCGTTAAGGTGGAATCCGGTGAAATCGTTCTGTGCCGCCGGCCTTCTGACCACATTCAAAAGCTCAAAGTCGCCAAAAACCACTAAACCCGTAAATGACCTTAAACCGTCCGTTGCAGTGTGTCAGCAAAGTTCCGTAAGTTGGAGACGTCGTTGTCTGGTTGGTGTTGTTAGTAGTGTATGCGGTGGTCGTTAGTCCGTGCCTGTGTCGTGAGTACTTCGTTTTGGAGTTGGTCAGTGGTACTCTCGTTAGATGGCTATGCTACATATTTAATGTTGGTCACTATGACTAGTTTTCTGTTCGGGTTTTACTGAGTTGCCAGACTTAAGTCATAGCTTTATTATACTTTCTAGCTAGGTTACAAAGCGCAGCAGCTTTCTTAAAGGACTCATTTCTTAATCAGTTTCATTTAATG